TTTGACATTTCACACCCTATATTTTCTACATTCAATGCCACACTTCCTTGTGTGGTACTCGTGTAAATGCACAATATTAGACAATACTCAATAAGAAAACCAACGGAATTCTGAACTCTTGTATATCGAGAGCTTAAAAGAAGGAACGCTTAATCGGAGGTCGTCCCACGGCCCTCATCAAGCTTGTAATTTCAAGAAATCTAGCGACTTTTGTTCCTCTTTTAGCCTCTGCTGATGCTCTTTTTTCTTGTGCTTTTCTGTGTGCTTTGGCTATATCATTCTGCATTTTCTCAAGGGCTTTTGCTCTTTTCTCCTCCAGCTTCCTCTGCATACGAGTATGAATCAAGATACCAGTACCAACCAAAACATGGGGAAAAAATTTAACAAGTTAATCCCATGTTTGTTGTAGATTAAAAATTGATAAAAAATCTCAACTTAAAGTCAATAATTAATTTTAATCACACTGTAATCCACAACTCTTTGACGACACATTTCATCAGTTTTTATCAAAATATACTAAGAAACTGATCTACACCAAACAAGGGCTCAACGTGTTATACCTCTACTTTCTTCATCCAAGAAGTCGCCTTCTGCACTTCCTCACTCTCCAAACCAGTGATCACAGCATCCTCTCTCTTAAACCTATTATTAATCTTCGCGATCTTTGCATTCTGCCATGCGTTAATCTTCGATTCCACCTCTTCTTTCTTCACACTTTGCACTGATATTTCCCTTTGATTACCTGTCAAAGACGAGATTTATACAAGTTGTCTCTTCGTAACAGCTTAAACTTTCAGTCTGATGCCTGATAATTTTAGCTTTTAGACGAGATGGTTAACATTACCTTGGGTTGATTGAACTGAGGCAGGAATGTCCAGAGGATTATTATCGGGCACAACGGCCGAAGAGTTGGTTTCTTCTGGCACTTCCTCCTCCCGGATCCTCCCCAAGTTGCTAACACTATTCGCAGCCATGGGAACGTCGTTTTCTGGCTGGCTATTGCTGTTTCCGATGGAGGATCCAGCAAGAACTAAAGCATTGAATTCTCTACTCACGGTGGTGAAATTTTCAATTTCAGTACTGCTGGTCATGGACAGATTTGATGATCTGTGGCTACTTGTTTCCCAAGCAATCATTCTCTGTAGACGAGATGGGGTTAGTGTATGGATTTCTCTAATATGTTCGTCTTCATTGTCTTCTTCATTATTCCAGCTCGTGCTGGCTATGGCTCTTTGATTGTTCAACATGGAGAACTATGATTATAATTAGGTATGATCAAGAAATTGCAAGAGATCAATGGACGGAAGAAGCATGGGGATTAAGCATAGTCTTATGGTGTTCTCAATTAAGATTTTGATGGATTTTAAAAGATTATAAATTCTAAATAAATTTCATGAATTTAAATATATTTCTATAAATTTCATAAAAGATTTGATTATATATATTATTAAGCTTGAAATTCATTCAAATCTTTCAAAATCCCTCTATTATTAAAATTTTTATAAATCCACTTATTATTGAGATTTATAATCATGAGATGATCAATAAATATGAGCCATACAATTCTTAGCAATTCTTTAGGAGAGTTCATGAACAATCTCTGTAAATTGATTTCTTGTACGTTGATAAGTATCATGATTGATGGTCAAAGATTTGAACTTTCTTTTTGATAAATGTTATAGTAACCCCTAGTGTGTTGTTAATTTAAATTGAGTGCATGTTTTGAACTTTCTATTTGAATTAGGAACGACAAAATATTCCAACGTGAATGGTGCGAGGATTTCCCAATTAGCTGAGAAATCGAAATGAGTACTATAAATATGGTACACGATCCGACGACAAAGTTGGTGTAAGAAATGGAGAGCAACATAACGCAAATATATTCAAAATTGAAATTTATAATTGAACTAATTAGTGACGCTATCTTGACAACAATCATGCTACAGTGCCAGATTCTTTCACATAAAATTTGACATAATGCTATTGACATTATATCATTGGACTATTTTAAACACGGTAAGCTTCCTATCAAATCATGTGCTTAAAACAATCCAATGATATAATGTTGGGAAGTGCTACATGTATATAATTGTCTATATAATGATGTTCATAATTACATGTGATACTGGATTTAACCTTTAATTCAGATCTCACACTTTCACATCAGCAATCGGATGATTGTTACATTATATTATGGACAACATTATGTGCAATACTTATGTACATGTAAACTTTTCCTATAATATTACATGGCATTATGTCAATTGTTATGTGAAAAAATCTGACATTGTAGCATGATTGATCTTGACAATAGCTAGGTCCAAGAAAAAAACAAAAATCAAAATTCATAGAGTACCTCTATATTTTTATGGACCAGTCTGGAATTTACAAAAGATAAAAGGACAGTCTTCAAATTATCAAATAGATGAAGGGCTTCATACCAAAATATTTTCGTCTTTTGTTCTGGAGGAGCCCATGAAAGTAGGTAACTCTAGTGTATTTGTCATAATCTAATAAACGTGGCTAATTTCCATTGGTTGCTCCTTTATCAGGGTATTCAACTAGTCCTATCGCATCAAGGACACGTGTACGGACAATCACGATTACAGGATTGTGTTATTATGATGGACACGTCCTACGTGATAACCTATATTATTAGCGTTTGATTGTACGTATGAAATTTATATGAAAATAGCATAAATTATAGGTAATTCAATTGCTTAGAATTTATTTGTATAAAAATTGTCAATTAAATGTGTTTGATTGATTTAATTTTCAATTTAGAAAATATTATCTTTGTCCCTTTTTTATTGGTGGGTTAATGAGAGAGAGTAGCTAAATAAGAGAGAGAGTGAATTTTGTGGAAAATAGAATCTCACTCTTCCTAAAGAAAATTTCTTCCTTGATTTTGAAGAAAATATAGTCACGTGATCAAAAGTGGAAAAATATTTTCCATAGAAAAATGGCAATCAAACAGCACAAAGGTAAAAATTTTGGTATAAAAATATATTTTTCCACGAAAAATATAGGCAATCAAACGCACTCTAAGAGTTGATTTAATAATTTTTCTATTGATTTTGACATTTTTTTTTTTTTGAAATTTAAACGATGTAATTGAAGTGCAAGAAGTTGGAATACCATACGTGGCAATGTATTTTGTTATTATCTTGCAAGAAATGTATTGTGAAAAGGGAAAAACTATTTATACACCATACTACACGACATGATGTACAATCCCCTCACATGTTGAGGAGGTTCACATAAATACTAAATTTGTGAGCCCCCTCACAAAAGTGTAGAGCACTTGCAGTTCTCTTGTGAAAACAACATTGATCAATTTTAAGATTTTTTTTTTTTAATTTTATTTTAAGTTTTCAGTAGAAGAGGTTTTGTAGGAAGTTAATTTTATTTTCGTTTGAAAATAAATTTTTAAAAGAGTTTTTTATTCTCAAAAAACTTTTGGAGTAAGTCATATTAAAATAGTTTCCTCTAAAAATTTTATAACTAAGAGAAGAACTTTTATAAAATTAGTCAAATGAGTCCAAAAATAATTTTTAGATTTCAAAAACTCTTTTTCACATTTCAAAGTCCATACCAAACAATCCCTAAGTAATTGACAAAATCTCGTTATTTTGAATATAAAATATGAATCTTAAAATTTGAGACTATTAACAACACATCGTTTGTTAAAAATCATATTTTTAATAGATTTTGATAAAAGTTGATTAAAAAACTGAGGATCACATAAAACATTTCATAAAATTAATTATTGATTTTTACTTAAATTTTTATTTATTTTTTTAGTTAAACCAAACCTAAGCTATATATGTTTAATAGATAATACTACATACTATTAAATTAAATTAAAAACAGCAAAATAATAATAATAACAAGGCCCTAAACTGAACAATAAGATGCATTATCACCTTGCTTTGATCTATTAGAAGATCACGATCTAACCCCCACTTTCATGTAACCATCAAAGTTTACTACTTTTGTCAATGTTACGGGTACTCGTCCTTAACTAGGTAAAGAGTTTAAACTGTTAAAAAAATAAACAGAAAATTGTAGTCACGGTACCAGACCTTTCACTTTTATATGGACTTGATCCGAACCTTTCATTTATATCACATATGATACCAAACTTTTCAAAAACTCATAATTGAAGTCCAAATGGATAGAAACTGTTAGTTGATCAAAGAATTAACATTAACCATAATTTTGACTAATTTTAAAGGGATATGTTAAGGGATAAAATTTCACATCGATTAAAGATAAAAATATAGATCAACTTATAAGATATTGAGCAACTCTTCTTAACAAAGTTGACATTTTACAATGAACCCCCAAGTCTTAACATAGTATCAGAGTCCATTAAACTCTAGCAAGTGATTCGATTCGATTAAGACTCAATAAATGAGCATACAGATTTCAAAATTGGTTTGCTCAAACGAGCCACCATCTTGTGGGGGCATAATAAGGAATAGAATTTCAGATCGATTAAAGACGAAAATATAGATCAACTTATAAGATCTTGAGCTACTTTTCTTAATAAGGTTAACTTTTTAAAATAGATTTCCAAGTCTAAACAAGATAAGAAGATACTTTTACATTTTTCAATAAAAAAAATATAATTATAATATATTAATAATTAAATCTAAAAAGCAAAAATCAAAGCAAAAACCTTCCACTCCATCCCCTTCTTCCCCAACTCCTTTATCCCAAAACCACCATCACTACCAGCAGTCAACATCGCAGGACACATCTCCAAGTGGTAAAAAGGGGAGGGTGGAGAAATCCAGCTTTACTTGAAGATGCTGCGTCAAGGGTTCGAATCCTGAAATATGGATTTGGCTCTTAGGTAAGTGCAAGTGTACAAGCAGCCTTCCACCCTGTACCCTTGGAGGCATAACCTGCGATTTACCTCCCCCACGATACTCCAGGGCAGGGGTGGTAGGGGACCCTTAAGGTTAAGGTTTAACCTTCTTTTTTTTTTTTTTTAAATAAAGGTAAACATCTAACACTAATATCAACGTCAGTGCCACTGTTGACACAAAATAAGGTCAACCCCACTTCTGCAAAAACATTTTTGGGAATTAGTAATTCGCATCCATTGTTAGGGGTAGTTTTTGTATTGGCTGAATTATTGAGCCTATTTTCCACAATAGCCTTTCCTATTGAAAGTACTACTTTACCCTTAATGAAATTATTTGCAAGACTTATCTTATATCTTTAAGGATTTATCAATCAGGACCTATATCTATATTTTTCAATCTTTTGAGCACCTTTAAATATTCTTTATATTTTAATAGTTCTTCAAAGATTATAGGTTGACCTTTCTTGGTTATATATCCTTTAAATAATCCTTCTGAAATTTCTTCTTGTATATTTCTATGTTTAATTATGATATCTTCTACCTTTTTTATTTCTCTACTTGTTCCTACAGGATCAAATCCTATATTATTTCTACAATTATAATCTATATCTCTATATATTTCTTCAATTTTTTCTTTACCAACAGGAAATATATCATCAGATTTTTCATCTAATTTAAGTAAGAACGAAACATCTTTTTCATCTAAAAATAAAATAAGATTATTATCATCATTAGTAGTGGAAGTAGATGCATGTGAATTATTCATCAAAATAATTAAAGCATGAGCATGTAAAAATAAGTAAATAACTTACAGTAATCAAGTGGAAATAAACAGGCTTTCCCTCCAATATGCTCTTATAGATGCTTTGCATGTACTTAATTAATCTTCTGAATCAAGTAAAGTTTTAAAATGTTTTGAAATCATTTGGGTCCACAACTGCTTCCGCAAAAGGCTTTTCAATTAAGATTGCATTTCTC